TGCCTTAGCTGGACAGGTGTACCAAGCTCTTGAAGCCTTCTCTGTTAGTTTTGATGGAATTGTTTACTCCTAATGCAAGGGTAAGCAGAGCTGTGCATCCACATCTTCCCCTGATTCTCCCCCCACCCGTCCCCAATTTGGCAATGTCTAGACTCGATTTATTTATTTGTTTTTAGCCAGAGCTAGCTGCTCTGCGGATTAATTCCAGTTAGATAACTGGTCTGGGTGCCAGAGGCTCGACAGTCCTCAAGGGTTTGTTCCTGTATGTTAACATTTGTGGCTTACTAGGGTAATTTGCAAACACATTTACTTTGAGTCAATTGGCAATCAGTTAACTGAAGTTAAAAAGGAAAAGGGGTGGGGGGAGGAAATAATCACGCAAGCCTCCTTTGCAAAATGCTTTGGGATCTGTGTTATTGGCAAAAAACAGAATAATAGAAGCTAGGTAGTGGAAACACAACAAGGGCTTAATTCTCTCTCTAATATAAAAATCTAACTGGCAGGAGTCTGCCAGGGATCAATTAGCTGATGTCTGCACACTGCCTTAAAGAGTAGAATGCTACAGCAAAGTTATATATTATTATAGTTTCTAGAGGTTCTTTTCTCCTCTTAGTTTTACGTTTTTAACACCACCTACTAAGCAGTTCTCTCCCCTTTTAATAATCCACCGAGTAAAGTGGTTTGTTGCATGTTGTTTTCAAATTTCAGTTACACATGAATAAAGCCTTTCATTAAAAAAAAAAAAACAAACCATACAGGACAAATTTCACTTGAAAAAAGCACATAGGACTGTGCTACTCATCCGGCCAGGGTATAAAGGGCCACATCCTGATCTGGCTGTGCTCCTGTCAGAAATGGAGCGATGTCAAAGAAGGCTCAGCTCCTATTTAGTTGTGGGAAGCAAGGTCAGGGTTGGGGTTGAGATGGACTGAGAGCCTTGGCACTGAGTGGGTAAGTCAGATTTAAGTCCAGCCTGATTTTAGCTGATGTAAATCAGTGCAGCTCTCTTGGAAGTTGGTGGAGTTATCTGGATTTATGCTGCTGATGGCTTGGCCTGTTGTCTGCACCAATTTAGAACTGCTAGAGATCTGGGCCACTGAACCTGCTGGGCTGCTGGTCTTCACGGAGTTGGTCTAATTTCCTGTGGGGTTATTTTCTCCAATTTTTAAGCACAGGATCCCCCATCTGTCTGTCTCTGCAAAGCTGGCTTTCCTGTCTGCAGGCCTGCACGGAGACCCTCCCTCCTCCTCCCCCTGCTTCTCACACCATCGACTGCACCATGCGTCCTTTTGTCCGTTTCTAGATCCTCCCTCCCCCTCTCACCATGCCCTCTCCTTGCCTGTCTCCCTTTTGCCGTTTTGGGGTGTCTCTCCTTTGCCTCCACACCCCTAATTCTCCTCCTGCCTCAGAGGGATCACAACGTGCCTCTCCCTCAATTCCCATCACCTTTCCTCCATCTCTAACTCCCTCCCACCCTCTCCAGCTCGTGTAACTCGCTTACGTTTGCCCTCATTCATGTGTATTCCTTGCCACCGTTTCCTTCCATCTGTCCCCAGCATGGAGCCCCTGTCCTTTGTCACTGCTCTGCTTGCCTGACCCTCCGTGTCGCCTCCTTGATTGTTTCCTGTCGTGCTGGGCTCAGATCCCTCTTCCCCCACACGCAGTCATTGTCCCGTAGCTTAGAAAAACGCCAAACCCAAGCCCAGCCCTGACAAACGCCCACCTGAGATCCTTTTGCAAACGAGAGCAAGCCTTGCGTCCTGGGAGGCAGTACGTGGGTCACTGAGGAATTCAGCAAATCCTACTTTGGTCTGGGGTGATGCGCGGGAGTCATTTTCAGCGTGGATGCTTGCCGCTAACACCCCTTTTCTTTCCATGCAACGCTCCGGTGATATCCCTGGGGAAATGGTGGCATCTCAGTTAATCTTCCTAAGATGGAATCTCCATCTTTGGAGCGAGCAGCATAGGAGCGGGGCAGGGAAATGTCTGCCAGAGATGGGTCAGAGAGAGCCGACCCTGCCCTGGGACTGCGGGAGGGCATAGGTGACCTCTTATGGTTTTATCCTTCCCTCCACAGGCTCCTTGGGATGAACCTTTATTCTGTGATTTTGTCTGCATGGTTTTATTCTACAGTTGTGTCGTGCCTAGCACCGTAAAGTCTTGCTCTTTGGGTTTCCTAAATACCAATAACACAACACCGTAGATGACCATCAGTCCACATCAACTGTTTACAAACTGTACTAAACAAAGCATTGCAAATATACTTCAGGGTGCATACTCAGTGGGGAGTAACATGTGAGCTACATTGGACTTGGCAGGGGGTGGATTTGGTTTGGATTTTGGGGATTTGCCCAGCTCCTTCTCTGGGTCAGATCTAGCATTTCCATTCCCCAGGAATGTGAAATTAGTGGCTTAGGAATGGGTTTAATGCAGCAGCATCGCAATGCCAAGTATTAAAAGAAGTTTTGCAGTAACGCAGAGCAAGAGACAGCCATTCTTCCCATTCCACAAATGGGGGACTGAGGCTCAAAAGAGCTGAAGTAGCTCTGAGGAGTTAAAAGTCGCATTGGGAGTCGACAGTGAAGTCAGGATTTACCGACACGTGTCCTACACCAATGCCAAGACCCTCTGACAGGCGGTGGGGTTTCGAAGCTGTGCTGGGAGGTTTCGTGTTCGCGCAGTCTCCTGCAGTTTGACGAGGCTGCACCCCAGTGCCCATGCGATGTTGTGAGATGCGAGTGTGACCTGTCAGGCTGAGCGTGCTTTGTGCAGCTGAAACTATTGGTTGTACCGTGTGTGGTGCCTGCCACCGCTGCGAGTGCGGGGAATTATTCTTGTCAGCTGTAGTGGCATGAGGCTCTGTTTTTATCACTAAAGGTGTGGGGTTCGATTCTTGCTAATGATACGTGGTGGTGGGATCGTTACGTTCCTGTAAATACCCAGATGTCACAAGTCTGTGTCTCGTGAGATGAGCTGCAGATAAGTGGCAGCACTAAGTGAGTGGCAGCCCTGAACTCCCAGATGGGAGAGATGTTGTTATTTATTAGGATCTGTATAAATAATAATGTTCCAGCCAAAGAGCTGAGGAATCTTAATTTCTTGGTAGCAGAAGCATCGTGTGCGGGTCGTCTTGTATTAAAGTACGATGTCAGTGTAGTATGTTGAGGAAAACTTGCTGGTGTCAGATAGTCAGAGGAGAGGACAAGAGACGGGCTTCTTTTGGGGAGAGAAGATGGGGTGGGGAGGAGGTGGGGGATCTCACAGAAGTTTCAATGCCATATCCTGATCCTCTTGTTCCATGAGCCCTGAGTCGGACACCTAAATCCTTGGGAAACCAGGGCAAAATGCTTACCTTACTCCATCTGTACTTGTAGAAATGCGGTGCCCTGGAGAATTGCATTTTTTAATTTTTCTTAGAGACCCGAGCTTAGAGCAAACCTCCCTGCAGAGGAAGCCCCAGTCTGCATGGGAACTTGGTGCCAGGCTTTGAAAATGCCTTCGGGCACAGAGTAAGGCTTTTGGAGAGAGGGGTCAGAGAGACGGCAGCAGGGAGGGTTTCCAGAAGTAGTTTAGAAAACTGTGCCACATCTGTAAAAATACTCGGTTGCTTGATGGCATCCTAGTGTCATCTAGGAACCTGGAGTCACACAGCTGGCTCTAAACCCCTCTAAAAAACGATTTGGAAGCCAAAACACACTGAAAAGTCTCTTGCCTTTTTTGGAAAAGCAGAAGGATGTTTTCTGAGCTCTAAGGAGCAAGGGGAATAGGCTTGGTGGGCTCCAAGAAGGTGGATACTGATATACAAAAGCACTGGCATGGCAAGTGACCTCAGGAAGGGGTCCAAGTGTCCGGACCACTGTGCTGGGGAGGCCTGCAGCCATCAGTGTTTGATACGGCAGATGGAGAGTCAAGGGCAAAACACAGCCCTTGGCTGGACGGCCTCCCCTCCCCGGGGAAGCCAGCACCGTGCCTTCACTGCAGCTTCTGGTGAGCACCAGGAGCAAGGGTCTGTGCACAGCCTGTGGTGGGGCTCTACGTGGACATGGGAAGGCAGCCCTGTCCCATTTCTTGCTGTTTTGACCCTAAAGCAAATACTGGCATCCTGCTACCCCCTGGCCTTCTAGCAGTGCTGATGATTGGGGTCCCACTGTATCTGAGGTGGGGAGCCCAAATTGCTGCATCTCTGCTACCCACCCCCACCCCCAAACTTGGCCTCCCAAAAGTGACCCAGGTCACACCAGATTCACCCCAAAAGCTCCACAGTAGGACAAAAGTCCCCATGGAGGGCTCTGCAATCTTGAGTTATGGCAGACGGCTCTCCCCTCGTTGCTCCCTGTGAGCTGGCATGGAGTGGCCAAGGGGCTCCACATTGGCCATGCCTGGCCATGGACTCAGCATCCCCCTGCTTTCTCCTGTCATCTCCAGCCTCTCCTGCAGCCCTGTGTGTCAGCCAAATCTTTCCTGTCCTGAGAGCCACTCTGACGAGAGGGGAGCCAGGGTGGCCATCTTCTCTGAGGGGCAACATGGTGGGGCCTGGGCCTGAGCAGGAACAGGCTTCGTCACAGGGACCACTGGCCCTTGGGGAGGGCTTGAATCCCCCCCCCTCCCCAGCTCCCTGGTGCCTGGGGGTGTGTGAAAGGGAGATCTCTGAGGGGTGATTGCTGAGGAGTGGCTGATTTCTGAGGGGAGGCGGCTGAGGGGGATTGTGTGGTGGCAGCGCAACACACAAAATGGCGACACCCACCTGAGGATGAGGGAGCTGGGAGCTCCTGAGGGATGAGCTCTCTGGGGATGGTGTGGGGAAGCCTTCCTCTGGCATTTCTCCTGTCAGGGTTAGTGAGGAAAGGGCCTTTCCCTCATTTTAGGTCCCCAGGCAGTGGCTGCTGCGGGTACAGGGCCTGCTGAAAACATGGCAGCTCAGCCTGGTTTCCTGAGGAGAGGGGAGGGTGGTGGGACAGCCTCTCTAACCTTCCTGCCTTCTTTTCTCTCTCTTCCCCAAGGCTGCAAGATCAAAGCCCTGCGGGCAAAGACCAACACCTACATCAAGACTCCAGTGCGGGGTGAGGAGCCAGTCTTCATGGTGACGGGACGGCGGGAGGACGTGGCCATGGCCCGGCGGGAGATCATCTCTGCTGCTGAGCACTTCTCCATGATCAGGGCCTCCCGCAACAAGGCTGGCACCACTTTTGGCAGTGCTCCCACCTTGCCGGGGCAAGTCACCATCCGGGTGCGTGTGCCCTACCGTGTGGTGGGCTTGGTGGTGGGCCCCAAAGGAGCCACCATCAAGCGGATCCAGCAGCAGACCAACACCTACATTATCACACCCAGCCGGGACCGGGACCCCGTCTTTGAAATCACCGGTGCACCGGGCAATGTTGAGCGTGCCCGGGAGGAGATTGAGACCCACATCGCAGTGAGGACGGGCAAGATCCTGGAGTACAACAATGAGAATGACTTCCTCTCCAGCAGCCCTGACTCCGGCATGGAGAACCGCTACTCGGAGGCCTGGCGGGTCCATACGCCAGCGCCGGGCTGCAAGCCCCTCTCCACCTTCCGGCAGAACAGCCTGGGGTGCATCGGCGACTGCTCCGTTGACCCCGTCTACGAGACCCCCCGGCTGAATGACCAAAACGACTTCAATTATGGTTACCTCTTCCCCAACTATGGCGTGAACAAGCAAGATCTGTATTACGGGGTGCCGGAGTCGGGTGCCCCAATGTGGGCTGGGCAGGAGAACACCAACCCTGTCTCAGTGCTCTTCTCGAAGCAGCAGCGGTCCAGCAGTACTGGCGCCATCCACCCAAATTCACATCGCTCCCCGTCCTCCTCTATCCAAGAGCCCAATCTCTCTGGTCTCCCCAGGCGGTCGCAGGGGGAACCGCTCCAAGGGTTCTCCAAGCTGGGGACAACTACTGCTGCCCGGACGTCTGTCTCCAGCAGCCGCGAGTGCATGGTGTGTTTCGAAAGCGAAGTTACGGCAGCTCTGGTGCCATGCGGCCACAACCTCTTCTGCATGGAGTGTGCCGTGAGGATCTGTGAGAGGACTGATCCAGAGTGCCCGGTTTGCCACGCTGCAGCCACTCAGGCCATTAGAATATTTTCCTAAAGAGACAGAGCAGGGCATTGGGGTGGGGGGTGGGGGTAGGAAGGGAGCGTGGGGGGGTCCAGGAAAGAAAAATGATGATGATAATAATAATAATAATAATGATAATAATAATAATAATAATGACATCTGAAGAACAAACAAATGAATGAAAGAATAAATTAATTTAAAGAAGAAGAAGAAGAAAAAAAAGAAATTATTTTACAAGCAATGTATGTTATTTTTTAAAAAAAAGTGAATAATAAAATTAAAATGAATAGCAAAGCCAGAAATTTTGAAGGGCGAACGATGCTCCAGCCTGCAATGTCTTTTTTAAAACAAGTACTCTGAACGCACACTCGGATCTCGCAAGCAAAGCGGTTTAGTTCAGTTTTTTTTGGTGGTGAGATTGGGACTTCTCTGCATTGACCAAGCCAGGCCATCTTGATCAGACTGGGATGGGAGCAGGGACGTGGGGAGGGCCCTGCCAGCCTTTCTTCTCCAGCTACGTTCAATCTTCATCTTGGTCTGAAGCCCCTACTCTCCTCCCCCCCAGGGATGTCAGCCCAACTGGGAGCTCAGAAAGAAACAAATAGAAAGAAAGGAAAACGGATGACGGGGATTTAGAAAAACAAAAAAGAAACCATCAACCTCTGGGAACCTGTTAGAACGAGGGCACAACTGTATTACCTCAAAGATTTAAACAAAAAAAAAACCACAGCAGCTAAAGAACTTTTATTGTTTTCCTTTTTTTCTAAAAAAAAACCAAACAAAAAACCACAAAAAAAAGAAAATCAAAAAAGAAGATGAAGAAATAAAAATGACGCCAGTGAAACTGAAGAAGGTTTGGAAGAACCTATTGGAATCACACTGGGCGATTAGCATTTATTTTATTATTCTGAGCCACCGTGGAGTCTGGAACTTTGTTCTTTTTTCCTTATCCGAGCAGGGATTTGTTCATCAGACGAATCAGGAGTCACTAACAGGGTATTTCAAAAGCAGTCCTGAGTTCCCATCCATGGGGGGAGTGTATTGACTTCCGCGTTTCCGTAGTTCACTCTTCATCCTTTTTTCCAAGTGATGCCAGCTGCAGCTACACACAACACGCATGCGCACGCACACACACATGCACACACATAACATTGTGCTTTTCTTTTCTTAAAAAATATATATATCGCACCAAAACCTAAGAAAGACGATCATGCAATACAGGCAATGAGCCCATACGAAACCAACATGCATCCCAACAGAAAGCAAAAAAACCCCAAGTTTATATGTATAATTTTGTTGTCGTTGTTTTTAAACTGGACCAAAACTTTTGTTACCCAAAACCGAGTGGGGGGAAAAAAAGAAGAAAAAGTTATTTCTTTATGGACCAAAACCTCTTCAGCTGTCCTTTACCTGGATCTTCCTGAGGTTGGCCACTTTTATATATTATATTTTTTTCAGAATGAAACAAAACAAAACAAAATTGCCTTGTTGAACATCCTTTAATCATTTCAAGACTCCTGGTTTTGTTAAATCAGATACTTTTTAAACCATTGGGAAGTGGGAGAGGATGGGCTTTGAATCTGGCTTCTGTGCCAATGCACACAAGATGCAAGCCAGCATCTTAACATCATCAGGTTTGTTCAACCAGTTTCTGGATGCCAAAATGCTGTGATGGTAAAGATGTGTGTTGGATTAACCTATCAAGTACCAGTATACCTATCTATAAATATATGTGTATATATATATATAGGCACTTAATTCATCAAGCACCTATATATATATATATGTGTATATAAAAGCATATATATATATAATTTTTCTCCCACCACCACCGCTTCCCCATTTCCTACCCCTCGACTTCTGCTCACAGATCCTGGACCCTGATTTAGAACTGAACCAACAAGTTTCACAACTTGGCAGAGACAGTTCTACAGCAAAAAAAAAAAAAGAAGCCTGAGATTTTTTTTTTCCCTTCAGTTACAGGAGACTTTATTTTCATCGTAATAGTGTTCCTGGGAACATCCCCTCTTCTACTCCGTTTGCCGCCGCTTGCTCCCGGTTGCTGCCTCCACCCCGGTATGGTCTGCTCGAGCCATCCTCGGTCACCGGAGGAGAGGCTGAGCTTGCCACTCTCGGGGCAGGCCGTTCCGGTGCTCTGTGTCGATAAAGATCCACTTTCGATCTTCAGATATCGGGTGGAGGGGCATAAATTTATGTGCCTCCACCATTTTGCATCAACGGTAAAATATTACATAGGGGCAAGAGGTAGATGGAGGGGTGGACGACGTTCCTAGGCTCTGTAGTGGATGCTGATGTTTTGGAAAAAGTTAAAAAAAAAAAAAAAAGCTGTGCTAAAGGGACACTGTCAGGTCGAATTTGTACTCACCTCCTCCCCAAAGCTTTAAGAAATCTCCGGCTGCTTGGTTCTCCCGGCCCTGTGGTGCGCACAGCCATTTGCACCAGGACCGGATTGGGATGTGAGCGCTTCCCGGGGGAAAGCGCCGTGTTTTGGACCCGCCGGTGTGGGTGCCGTGTGGGAGCCATGGGGCAACGGAGGGCTGGGGGTGCTGGCCAGCTTTGCTCCGGCCAAACTCCCAAAGGCTCCACAGCCTGGTGCTGTCCCAGGGCACAGACGTGAAAGTCATCCTCCCATGGAAGTGTGGCCTCGGCAAAGGCTTCATTGCCCTGGCCAGCTCTGGCCACATCCTTTCTAAAAGTGGCCCAGTTCTCGTTCAAAATCTGGCTTCAGTTTGGTCCCAGTAAAAGAAGGGGAAGGGAGAGGGGCAACTTTTCTGTTCTCCGGGCAGTAACCTCTCCCCTCCCTATGTGCACCACCTCCTCCGTCATGTCCCGTCCCCCCACCCCAGGGTTGTATTTTAACCGTTCATTGTGCAAAATTCTCCCGCTGATGTCGAGAGAGTGGCTGGGGCAAGAGCTGGGTTGCAGGGGTGGGCGGGGGTGGGGGGTGGGGGGATCCAACCACCCTTCGAAGGGGCATTTGGAAATGTTCGTGTTGGTAATGGAGGGGATTTAGCTGGAAATTGCAACGGCAAATGCTTCCCTGGCCAAGTCCCCCGGGGCCGATATGTTAGTTGAGTGACTAGTCGTTCTTGGCTGAGTGAAGTCTGTTCGTGGTAATGTGAGCAAGTTTTTGATCAATGTCTTTATTTGATGCCAGGTTGTGAAGAGGTGGGTGGGAGCGGGGAGGGGGGAAGGAGACACCCGTGTTGGGGACCTGGGGTGGGGGGGACCTATTCTAGCACTGACCCTAGGGAGTGGGGAGGGGGGAAGGTGAGGGGGGCTCTTGTCTGCTCCTTTTATCTCCTCCCTTAACTTAACGAGCGAAAACGATGTAAAAGCCTCCTGCATGCTGAAAAATGTTAGAGAAAAAAAAAAAACTTTCTTTTAAAAAAAAAAAAAGGAAAAAAAAAAGGAATAATGACCCAAACAAACGTCCATGCTTGCTGATCGGAACCAGAGGGGGGCTGTCCGTCTGTCCAGGCAGCGGCATGTCTGCCCCTCTCTGCAGACGAGGTTCCTACTCAAGTCTCCAAGTTGGCCTTTAATAAAATCTTCAGTTCCAATAACCTTTATATATATATATATACATATATATATACATATACATATATATTAAAAGAAAGCTTGATGTAGCAGTTCTAGTTTAAAATGAATAGAAGTATTTCGGCCCCTGTTTTATTTTGATTTCTCCTTTTCCCCTGCTTTCCCCCATACCCCCACAACTCCATATTTTGATGTAGCAACTTTGGAAGAAAGAAAAACAGGCGCTGTAAAATGCACCGAGAGCTACCTCTGGCATGAGAGGGGGCTGCAGGGGGGGCTCGGGCAGTGCGGGAGAGCTGCAGCCCCCACCGCTCCCCGACCTGTCGGGGGTACCCAGAGAGGGGCAGTCCCAGGCCCTGCCTGTTAGCATCCTAGGGGAGCCCGGTTGCGGGGCTTAAACAACAAATTTGCGTAACTTTTTTTTTTCTCTCTTTTTAAATATATGTATATATATAAAAACCTTAAAAAAAAATAAAATAAAAACAAAAAACAAGAAAAATGCCCATGACCTTAACTATTTGCTCTGACTTGTATCTTCCTTGATAGGTGACTAAAAATGGCTTGTTGGTCTAATTCACCAGCAATAACGTTAACTAAAGACAGACCCCTCCTCCCTGCACCCTGCCCTTCTCTGCAGCAAGGTCCGAGCAGGGTTCCCTGCGCACGGGTGTGCTTTCCCCCTTCCCTCCTGCCCTGCAGGGATGCCTTCGGTGACCTACCTTGCAATAGGAGCAGCAGTGTAAACCAGCTAGGCTAAATCTTGCTAGCTTCAACCACCCTAAACATCCCTCCCAAGACACTGTGGGATAACCCATTCGGGGTGCTAAATTGATACGGGGCACCCTACTTACGCCCAGGGGAGGAGGGAGGCACCTGGTGCTGGGACCCAGCACACGAAGCTGGGTCTTGCTGAGCCGCCCAGCTCTCCCTCCCAATGGTTTAGGAGCAGCAAAAACCCTTGCAGGGAGCCCGGTCCTCAAGACCCCCATCCTGCAAATCACACGGGGGCTTAACTTTACGGCTAGCGAGCGGCCCACCAAAATCGGGCTGGCTCCTGGCAGTGGTAAAGCAAAGCACGTGCATCCATGCTTGCAGGATGGGACCTCGCGGGTGGCCCAATACAAATGAATGCTGCTGACTTCCCCTCCACGCTGCTGGCCAGGCAGGGGAGCAGGTTGTTGCTGAGTTTTTCCATCTGCCGGTGGGGATGGTGGAGCCAGGGTGGGGACCCGGCTGAGGACCCAACTGTGACTTGCCATGCCCAGATGAATGCTGGTGGCAGTCTCCCCTGGGCGCTCACCCTGCTGCAGGGCTGAGCTGTGTCGGGGTGCTTTTGCGAGGCAGGCGACCCGGCCTCTGAGGGCGTGAGTGGTGGGACGGAAGGCAGGTCCCCAAAAACCTGGGGGGCTCAGAGCGTAGCTGCGTTGGAAGGTGCTGAGCTGTTAGCAGGAGGCTTCCAGGTCCAGGCAGGATCAGACCCGTTGGGGGATGGAGTGGACCTAGCAAATGGGACCGACTTGGTGCCAGACGCCCCAGTTCAGCATGCCGCTGGGATTTACACATGTGCTTTGCCGAAC